CAGTGCAGTAAGCTCCAGTCTACATAATACATGATGGAGAGGCCAACTGAAGTAGTAGATCCAACCAATTCACTACTTGTATTTCCTAGTAATATATCTTCTACTCCTCCACCAATTATGATGACTGCAGCATCTTCTGTGAGTGTACCATTACAAGAAGAATATTTGTTTGTAGCTGAACAAGAGAGTAACTATAACACTGAACTATCTGTTTTATGTCTTTAACATACAATTAATATTAACAATATTTATTATTATCTATTTTGAGCTCAATGTATGACATTTTGTCATTTGTATATAACATTATTTTGGAGTGCAACAGAATCTATTACAGCATGTATGGAGTCACTCATATAGCAACAAAAACACTCAAATCAATATCAAATGGAGTCTTCATCATCTCATCTCTCATAACTTGACCATGTTCACTCTCACATTATAAACCTGATAATCATTTGCAGTATAATCATAATGACAATTATTGTTCAGTTACTGTTTCCAGATAGTTATTTCTTTTCTTGATCAATGATTGTACAAATAGTTGAGTTCTTTTCTTTCTCTCAGCAGCATAATTAATAATGAGTTCTTCTAGTACTGCTTCTGATAGTTCACCTTCTCCTCCTCCTCCTCCTCTTTCTTTATAATATTGTACTAATGCACAGTCTCTGTCTGATTTATACTGCTTGTCCTTCCTCTCGATGTACATGTACTCTCTTGCTACCTACTCATGTAGTATAAGGTAAAGTGGATACATTCATACAAAAAATGATTTTGGATTAATCGTAATATATTTACCTTCAGAAGATGAAGTATCAACTGGTGATGTAGTAGCCTCTCCACTACTGGTAAGATTAAATTCTTTTGCTATTTCATCAGCTAGAGCTGGATCAGCTCCTCCACTATTACTTTTAATGGAGTTACACAGCATTCTTAATGTAGGGACACCATGACTCTTATAGTCATAGTCCTTCTTTAACCAGCAATCAAATACTTTCTGTAGACAACCTCTGGCCGTCTTTGTCTCTGATTCAATCTCATATAGCTTGTTGTAGCTAATTCCTAACAGAATACCAATAGAGTCCCAGCGTCCTGAAAGAACACCAGCTTTTTCCCATACCAGTCGAAAATCATTAATATCTATCATTAATAATACTAATAAAACAATTATTATGAATATCTACTCACTAAGTTCTCTGTCAAAGGCTCTTTCTAGCTCCTCTGGTTGGTTGACATTATTTCCTTTAGTTCGGAATGCAACCAGTGACACTTAGCAATGGGCGATATATCGATTCTTTATCGATATACATTATACTGTATCTATGGGCAGCCCTACATATTCACAAAGACGCCCACTGAATTTGATTTCCGGTTTATTTTTATGCTATAAAAACACTGTACACTACTGCAGTGGTCAGTGCAGTAAGCTCCGGTGTCTAGCCTAGCTGTGAGTTTAATCAGTTGGACTGCAGTCAGTGCTGCTAGAGCCTATTAGTGTACAATGGAGACTCCAACTCAAGCAGTATCAGATGCAAAGGATTCAGTACTTGTAATTGCTAGCAACTTATCTTCCACTCCTGCAGCAATTATGATGACAGCAAGTGTCTCTTCATCATTACAAGAAGAATACTGGACTGTAGCTCTACAAGATACCAACTGTAACAATAAATTATACTATGTTGCATGTCCTTAAGCAATATAGTATCTACTAGGTCTATGTAATTAATATTAACTGTGTAACATTTTCTCATTTGTATATAACATTATTTTGGAGTGCAACATAATCTATTACAGCATGCATGGAGTCACTCATACCAACAAAAACACTCAAATCAATATCAAATGGAGTCTTCATCATCTCATCTCTCATAACTTGACCATGTTGACTCTCACATTATAAACCTGATAATCATTTGCAGTATAATCATGATGACAATTATTGTTCAGTTACTGTTTCCAGATAGTTATTTCTTTTCTTGATCAATGATTGTACAAATAGTTGAGTTCTTTTCTTTCTCTCGGCAGCATAATGACTAATGAGTTCTTCTAGTACTGCTTTTGATAGTTGACCTTCTCCTCCTCCTCCTCCTCCTCCTCTTTCTTCATAATATTGTACTAATGCACAGTCTCTGTCTGATTTATACTGCTTGTCCTTCCTCTCAATGTACATGTACTCTCTTGCTACCTACAGTAATGTAATGTACATACACTGTACCTAGTATGTGTATACATTTATAGATGTACTGTACATGTACAATGTACAAATACTTATTCAATACTTATTTATTCTAATACTAAATACTACTAAATTTTATTCAAACTGGCAAAAACACTCAATACTACATGTATTGAGTACAGAGGGTCTTGGAAGTACATAACATTCGACAAATATTTTTCGAGTTACAACCATCTAAAAAAATCAACCCATTTCTAAAAAATGCCCAAGGCTATAGCCCATGATTTTTCCTGAAAAATGGCTCCGAAATTACCCCAAAATTTTATTACATTGTCTGGTACATATTGATGTACTTATGCTGTTTAGAAAGTTTAAGCTGATTCTCACAAATATTTGTTAAGTTAATTATGGCCAATTTAAAAAATCAGCCAATTTCTGGAAAATGGTTTTTTTATGAAAAATGGATCCAAAATCACCCCAAATTTTTATTACATTTTCTGATACATATTGATGCACTTATGCTGTTTAGAAAGTTTGAGTTGATTCCGACAAATATTTTTTGAGTTATGGCCATTTTAAAAAATCGGCCAATTTCAGGAAAATACCCAAGGCTATATAGCCCATGGTTTTTTATGAAAAATGGCTCTGAAATCACCCCAAATTTTTATTACATTTTTTGATACAAATTGATGTACTAATGCTTTTTAGAAAGTTTGAGTTGATTTCGACAAATATTTTTTGAGTTATGGCCATTTTAAAAAATCGGTCAATTTCAGGAAAATGCCCAAGGCTTATAGCCCATGGTTTTTTATGAAAAATGGCTCTAAAATTACCCCAAATTTTTATTACATTTTCTGGTACAAATTGATGTACTTATGCTGTTTAGAAAGTTTAAGCTGATTCTCACAAATATTTTTTGAGTTATGGCCATTTTAAAAAATTGGCCAATTTTTGAAAAGTACCCAAGGCTATAATAGCCCATGGTTTTTTTAAATGGCTCTGAAAACTCCCTAAAATTTTATTACATTTTCTAGAACATATTGATGAACTTATGCTGCATACAAA